TTTTTTTTTATTATTGAAATATATATGCGCGCGCGCGTGTGTGTACGTGTGTATGTATATATATATATATATGTATAATATATATATTTATATTTATATGTTGACGTGATAGTATAATCGGGATATCCCACGAGGAGTTTAGTGAGTGATATACAGATTCAATTTGAGACGATCATGTAGCGCTGATGAGGGGCGGCGGAGCTGTCTGCTGTTGTTGTAGGTCGTGGCATGGATGGTAATTGTTGCTGCTGTTGTTAGTCGATTAAAAACCATGGACCTTCAGCTGGTCAGGTTTTGCCAGACCAGATTTTGTCAGCCACTGGCATATATTCTCTCGTTGGTCCCCCTGCAGCTGCAGCACCTCCCCGTACTCCGGGTGCTCTATTACTGTCCCATTGCAGGCAAACTCCTGTGGAAAAAAAAGAAACAAAGATAAATCAGGCAGGCATTCCTCGGGGAGGGACCTTTATCTAGACAATTCACTTCCGTGGAGCGTGTTGGGTCTTTTTATCTCCCGAAAGAATGTGTTTTACAAAACTTTCCAGATACAGTTATCAAAGTAAGATAATTGTGAACAGATACAGCTTCTCCGTCGAAGTTTCGATACCTTCAAGTAACAGTAATGAACCCCGCGATGTAATGTTACTTTTTGAATTTTTTGAACACTTGTATATAAAAATTAACATTAACAACTCTGTCTGAATGTCTGAAAATATTGTATAATATATAATATTATAATTTATCATATGATATGATCATTTCTAATAAATAAAAAATATATAATTTTATATAAAGCCGCATCTCTTGTCGACCAACAATTTTGCGACAATTGATCAAAGTTTGATTTCCAGCAACGTAATTATATTAAGTAATCGGTTTGATTTGAACCAACAATTAGAATCCAGAATTATCTATCGCTGTGTAAAAATATAATCTTCGACGTTTATGTAGAACGTTTCTTATTGCTTTGCTTAGGAGCAAATGGCGTTAAAGTGAGTGACACTAGACATTTTTCAATATCGTCAATGATTCATCCAGAGGTGAACAAAGCAGTTTACAAAGAGACAAGTCATCGGCGACGATGTCGAATCGAAACAAAGACTTTATTCCCTATATTTGCTATATGTAAAACCACTTGTAGATGCGCTCCGTTGCTATACATTCCTAGAACTTGCAAAACTACATCTGTCCAGCCGTGTATCGCCGTGGTTGTTTGCATCAGACCTATTTTTAGAGTTCTGCCTGACCGGCCGGTGGTGGGAGAAACAGCAGGGAGGAGGAAGCGGAGGCCATAGCAGAGAGGGCAGGAGAAAGGATCGGTAGGGATCCTACCTTCCCCCTCCTCTCTCTCCTCCCTCTCCCACTCTCTCTCACTCCCACTATAGGAGGAGGGTAAGCGACAAGCGTCGGGCACGGGCACACTCACCTTTTTACATGCTCTCACGATTTTCTTCAAGTCATATTCCGAGGAGAGTCCTTGCACCGTTGTTAAGGTTTTGCGACCATTCCGCTGCTGGATCCTTATATGAACGAGACCGTCCTGGACATCATCGTCCGAACCCTTGATTGCATCTGCAAAGGGGTCTGCGAACAGGCGAACAGGGGGACATGAGAAGATGAGGAGCGATCTCACACGGCGTGTGCCAGGGCGGATTGCGCAGGATGATGCAAGGAGGGCTCTCGCGCGCGCGAGCAACGCCGTCGGCCATTTTCGATCGGCACGAGGGGAGCTTCCCTCCTCCTCGCACCCGCACAACGGTAGGCGACGGTCTGCCGTTTTATCACCCTCGTACGCGAAGGGCGACGCGCACGGGGGAGCGAAGACGACGAGGCAGACGGAGGAAGAGAAAGAGAGGAATCTGACGCGGGGGAAGGACCGCGGAGGGGCGGAGGAGGAGGAAAGGGGGGAGGGAAGGCGGACGAGATAATGCGCGATTTCGCTACTCACCGAATGTGTTGAGATTCTGGATGGACATACGACAAACAAAAGAGATCCCTCGGATGATATAGAACTGCGGAGCGCAGGTGTGACGGTCGTGGGGCAGAACGTCGGACGTGGAGAGATGCTGCTAGATCGACACTCGAAAGGCGCGTGGACACCAGCGGAGAGAAGAAACGAAGTCGACGAAACCAAGCGCGATGGCCGTGTACGCAGCCGGAAGTAAAAGTTGCATTTGTCACGGCGCGATGGGTGGGGTTGCGCGGTCGGCGCGTTCCTAAAGCCACGCCGGGCGAGCTTGATAGAAACCTCATGTCTCTATGGGCGCGCGATCTGTTCGAACACCGGACGTATAAAAAATCATTTTATATTTTAATTACACTTCATGCAAATAATATTATAAGATAATATCTGTCTATGATAAACGGAACAATCTCGTGGAATATATTTTACGGAAAAACAAAGGTAATTATTGTAAATTTTAGGTTAGAATTCTTTCCGCTTTTTCTTCGCTACGTGGGACTGCACCCTCACGCGACCGGCAGCGGAACGCGAT